GCTTCGCAGCCGGGCGTCCGGACCGGTGCACGCGTTCCCGCTTGCGACGCAGCAAACCCAACGCCATCTCGTGGGTTGTTTGCCCCAGAGACCTTTTTTTTTTTATTTTTATTCCTTGCTTTTTGTGTTCGCTCTTTCAAGCATCAGGAAGAAATTAGGGCCGAGCCAGGTCTCCTATCAGTTGGTGGGGGACTGCTGTCTCTAATGCCCGGGTAGAGCGCTTCGAGGGACCAGGACGCGGTCCTGTCCGTGGCGGAGTCGATGGCAACGTTTCCGTTGGTTAAACGAGGACGGGATCTTCCCCTTGGAGTTAACTGTGTCGCTCTCTGTGGTTTTCTCTCTCTTTCCCCCCCCCCCTTCTCTTTTCATCACCGGTTGTGCACAGCGTGAAGCCAGCTGGCATCGACGGCTTTATTCAGGGCAGCATCGTGAAATGGCACAGATGATGGGCGATACTCCCCGCAGAGCGCGGTGAGCCTCCGAGCGTCCCCGAGGTGCCAACCGTTGCCATCCGCTGTTGCCGCAGGGGCTTAGTGCACTGAAGACGTTTGCTGATGCAACGTGCTGGACCCCAAAAGCCGGGATCCGACCCCATCAGCTGGACGCGGTCCTGCGCGCCCGGATGCTGGACTCAACGCTGAAAAGAAGTGGCAGGCTTGGGGTTTATTTCGTTTAAAAAATGGTTTCCTTTCCCTCGCTCATCTCTTAGCTCCTTGAAAAGGAGGTGTACCTGATGCTGGTAAATTGCAGTTTACTGATGAAACGGCTCAAACTGGGAGAGCTCCCTAGTATGGAGAAAGCTGGTGGAGGGTTTTTAGACTTCGGAAAACTACAGAACACGAATGAGGTTGAATCAAAACTTGATGTTTTGTTTTTTAATGCTTTGATTTTTAATTTTATTGTAAGATGTTAATTTTTTTTGCACTTGCTGATGCTGCTATTTTATCTGTAGACTGCTTCTAAACCTGGGATTAGAAGCTTCATCTCTACATCTTGACAACAGGTGAGAGATTGCGCTCAAAGGGCCCATACAATCCTTACAACGACTGATGACTATATGGACTGTATGTAAATTGGGAATGCGACTCTTGCACTCGGTAAAAATCAGTGATACCAGTCAGTCAAAATACATGTCGATATTTTCCCTTAAGCTTTATGGGGTCTGAGCATGTCCCTGAGAAGCCAAAGGGAATGGGATTGAATCCTTATTTTATAGCACGTCAATAAAGGACATGATTAAACTTGGTTCCTACATAACCATCTTACTGTCTTCTCTTAGGTTAATCTGGAGGGCTTGGGACTTCCAGTCCCCTTATTTTTTGTGCAAGGGCAGATGTGTAGGAGGAGCGTCGGTGGCAGTGGGTATGCTCCTTTTCCCACTGTATCTGTTCTAATCTAGTTCGGTTCCCAGCGTTTTTGTAGCTCGGCTTTGCTGCCGGTGCCTTCGGCTGCCCTCGCCGCCGCCTCCTTGTCCTGCTCCGCGGGCGTCTCCGGGCTCCCGCGGCGGGGCGGGAGGCTTGGACGAGGTTGCCAGCCTGGGCTCTGCCCCGTGTCTCGCTGG